CGTCCTTGCATGCCAGGGCTCCATTACCGCTAAACCCATCAAGTAGTAGAGCATGTCTTCATGTTGGGGGTTGATTATAGCTGATAGCTGCGGGTGGGTCAAGAAGTTGGTGATTAGAAATCTGCAATCACCTGGATGATGACGCGTGGAGGGGATAGGCGCAGGAGGCAAGAGGCGCATGTGTCGAAACCAGCACCGCACCTCGGCGCAGGTAAGCCCGGCCCTCCTAGGCCTCGGCCTCCAGCTCCCCCTGGATGGCGTGCAGTGAGTCCACACAGGGCCGTCAAGGTTTAGGGGGCTGGGTCCTTCTGTACCTCGGTTCCCACCTCCAGCCTGTCCTCCCCCTCGCTCCTCTGCCACCTCCACCGTCTCCCCTACCTTCCCAAATATGGCGCCTGCCTTCCCCAGTGGTCACACACCGGCGTTCTAGTCGGTTCCTGCCCCAGCCCGCCACCCTCTGTGCCACAGATTTCTGGTGCTTCGTCCTGAACAAGACACTTTTACAGGGTCAGTCGCCACAGAGGCAGAGGGAGTCTGCTGTGGGATCGGGGTGCCCGCACCCCTTGGCTTCTGAGGCCCAGGTGGCAGGGACTGGGCAAGCACCCTTCCTCAGCCGTAGCGGGGCGTGGATTCCCAGCCCGCGGGGATAATCGTCCATCACCAGCAGGAATCCCAGGCCTAGAGTGGGGTCCACCAGTGGTGGTGTGGCTGCAGGGGGGGGGTGCCCGCGGGCGGAGGTGGAAGGCGCGGCCTTCCCACGGACTCGTCCAGCTCCTGGTGCTCGGGCTCCCCCTCCTTTCCACTGGGATTCGCTAGGGTTCCCTGGCTGCGGCGTGTCAGGTACCGTAGAAGCTGCGGAGACTCAGGGGGCTGCCCTCTGGGACGTAGGCGCCAGACAGTAGGGCGATGGACGCGCAGCATAGATGCAGGCACCGGGATCAGGCCCCACCTGGTTACTATTACCGGTAGCTGCACTGGGCGTCTGTGAGTCACAGGCTTCTCACACTCGACTGTGGCTTCAAGGACATCTGGGGGGGTATTTGCATCTTTGCACAGCATACATTATGACAGGCATATGTGCCGCGAGCTCAAGAAATCCCTTGCAAAAGCTGATCAGACACAAAACGCAGCTCCCTAAGTACCAGGAAGTGCTCAAAATAGGTGGAGAGGAAAAAGAAACAAGGTGAAGTAGGAGGATCAGGGGCAAGGGAAGATCTTAAACGTGGCCAACCAGGGAGCAAGTGAATATGTGCCCAATTTTCCTCAGTTGGATACCCCTGGGCTACTTGGCAGGTGGGCATTGCTCCACCTTGTCCAGGGCCCAGGGATGACTCCTTGCTCTGTAGGACATTCTGCAGGAGTGAGCCCTAGACTTCAGGGTCTGTTTGGACAGGGTGAGATGAGTGGACCAGACCCTGTGGCCCTGCTTCTGCCAAGTACATCTATATCCCAGTGGTTTTGCTCCCAAACTCCTGGTCTGAGAAGATCAAAACATCTGATGCACCCCCCACTTCCATGCCTGGAGTCCTTGCCTCCTCCAGAAAATTTTCAGCCTCTTTCTATCCAAGAGAGAAGACAGCTCTCCAGACCCACCCTGAGGTAGGCATCTACTAGAGGGCAAGGTGTACTTGGGGACCCTCCCTGGGGGTCTGAGGTATTGGGGCATATAGTCTGTCAAGCAAATGAAGGCTAAGGAGACAAAAAGCCAGCCTTTGTACACAACACACCTGTTACATTAACATTTGTTAATGCCCCATGGACTCAGGCTGGATTCAGAGTGACCTGCCTACTTGGCTACGGAACTAGCTCTGGGACAGTGAGACCAGTCTGAGCCCTGGAGGATCTCAGAACAAAGGACAGGCCCCAGGACAGTGATGGCTATTCTCATTAGAGGCTGGTCATTGTCAGGTGAAGCCACATCCCCTCGGAAGTCTGTCTGAGCCTGAGGGATAGGCATAGCTGTGGGCATATCAGCTCTGTCACTGACCAGCTATGGCAACTTGGGCAGTAGAGGTCATTTATCTTCTGGAAACAAGAATCCATTTCCCATCTTAACAGTTCCCCAGACTTAGAGAAACCATGCCTCCCTGTCTCGGCCATGTATCACTGGCATACAGTGATTGGCTTTGGGAGGGCACAGATCAGGGCCAATGAGACATGTTTACTGAGGGTTGTTAATCAAAGGACTTCTCTCTCTGAGGAAGCCTGTGAAGGGTCCACTTGTCCTGGTCAGCACTGTGTGAGAACGACAGGCTGAGTCATAGCTGCCTTCTTTTCAACACAAGAACAAGCCACTTTGTAGGCTTTTAAGGCCTACAATGGTCCTTGGAGTTAAAACTCCTAAGACTGGGCAGGAACAGGAATGTGAAAGGCAACTATGTTCGAGTTGGGCTTATACTAACCCAAAGACTGCTCTACTGGCATTTTCAGTTTTCATGAAATTTCAGTCAGCTTGATTTTTTGAGCCTTGCATCCAGGATTAGATGTCACTTAGCTCAAAAACATCATGTTAAGATTCTCAAAGTACACGAAGTCTACAGGTGCCAGTGTGAATGGGTTGTTAACTTTCTGCCATGCACGCATCACCCTCTTCAATGCTAAAGATGCCTGGAGAGTTCAGCCCTTCCCCAATCAGACAGGTTCACGACTTCCAAACACATCATTCAGAAGTTTTTAATAAACAACTTCATTATAAAAACTTTTTTGAAAATGTAATTCTGTAAAACATTGAAAATCTACTTTAACAAAGATATGCCCTGTGCATTTTCTAATGGCACTTATATTTTACAATTAAAAACCTTGTTTTATATAAAGCCAAAAATACTCCAAGAGGTTATTCACTGTGTTTACAAAGTGCTAGAAGGTTTTTTGTCTTGTATTTTTCTCTCTTTAAATAATCTGGCATTACGAAAGAGTGGCTCCAAAGCCTTAACCACTGGGAGGGGGAGAGAGGGGTGTGAGAAGTGGCGTTTCAGGAGTTCTAGTGCCAATATTCAGGGTGGGAGGCGCATGTGAGCACCAGCCCCAGGAGTCCAGCCGACTGGACACCTGCAGCCTCCTGCCCCAGAGGCATTAGATCATCGGATGAGCCCGCCTCCTGTCAGAGCCGGGATCCCCCTCACGCCACAGATCCTACTCTCCAGTGGTGAAGGTCACAGCCAACTCCTTCCACAGCAGGTTCAGAGCTCCAGGAGAGGCCAGGGTGGGGTTCCAGAGGAATCTGGACTTTTCTGGCCAACACCTGCCTAAGGCAAAGTTTCTTATTACATAAATATCCTTGTTAAAAAGCAAAATATTGATCCTGTACAATATAAACTGTTAAAAAAAATTCGTGCTTAAAACAGCTCCTAGATAAGAGAGGTGGAGAGGGGTGGAGAAAACAGCTACCAAAAAGGAAGAGGACTTTAAAGGGCTACTAGGGCAAGTTTAGAGCAGTGAGAGAATTTCAACTTAGGACAATATCTACGAGCAAAAAAGTAATCACACCTGCTTCCCGGATTTCCACTAAAATGCCATTAGTAAAAGGTTGGGGGAAAAACTCATTGGTGCTCCGTTTCCCTACCTCTCACCTCTTAAGGTGTGCAGATCCTTTGAACTGACAGTTGGGCATACCATCCTGTGGCCCCTAGAACTGCATTCAGCCCTAACCGACTGCTGTGCAGGGTGGGCGATGCCTGCCCCTGTTCAGGTCAGCTCATGCTGACAGAAGTTGGGGGGAGTGGCGAGGAAAGAGGACATCACCCCTTTTCTCTGGTCCCTGTTCATTATCTGCCAAGTGCCATGGCTCCATTCCTAGGCAGATGCCCCTTAGGCTCTCATGGCCTCAATAAGGGTACTCAAGTAGGTTTGGTACTGAGTGCAGGATAAAGCTATTCTTATCCATTGAACAATCAGGCCAATAAGGCTTTTTTTTTCTTTTTTTTTAATTTTGAGAAGAGAGGTTTAAGAATCAGCTAGATCGCTATGGTCCAAAAAAAAAAAAAGGGGGGGGGGAAATGAAGGCAGATGTTTCTCTGCACGAGCAAAGTTCACAGTGATAAGAAAATTCCTTGAGTGTGTGAGGGCGCTGAAGAGAGAATAGAAGGAACAGGATGGAAAGGTGGGGGGATGAGGGCAAGGCCCAGTTAGGTTTTAAATAATTGTTTTGCCTGTCCTGTGAGTTTCTCAGCATCGCTAACTGGGGAAAGAATTCAAGGAAGGGACAGAGCTGGCAGGAAAGACTAACAATTGGGGATTTTATTTTGTGGTCAGAGGCTCTTTGCCTCTGTAAAAGGGAGGGTATAGGGAAGGCAGCAGGGAGTGGGCCGAGGATTGCTGAGTAGTGAAGACCAGCGACCAGGAGAATGGCAGCAGTTGAGTCCCACTGGGTAGTTCGGCCACTTCCTGTAATATGAGTCCCAGTAACATGCACAGCATGTAGGAGGTGGCTGCGTACCACAGTGGACGCTATTTAAAACAAAATCAGTCCCTGGGACTCACTGAAACCAATTTTTAGAAGCAGATTTGACTCTTGCCAGACATTTTTATATCTGGTTTTCTGAAAGGCATCCCATGCTTCCCTGTCTAGATCAAAGCATGCTTATTGTCTCCACACTGCTGCTGATGAAGGGCCGAGGAGCTGTATTTTATATTATCACCACAGATTTCTGGCCTGAGGTGAAACAGAAGCCTAGGTCTTGGACCTGCTCAGTTCTGATAAACCAAATGTTCAGACAGGTCAGAAACAGGAGAGGGCTGGGGAAGCTGAGGCAGTTCCTTGGTAGTTTGTCCTGAAATCCTAGTGGAGACGCCAGCAGAGGCTGAGCCATGCCGAGGGACTGCTGGCTGCATCTGTCGGCGTTAACAGTAAAGAGGTAGGAGTGTGTTTCTGAATCAGAGTGGAGGTGTCTCAAGAGGGTTCCACATTGGTCTCTGAGCTGCCTCCCTTCACAAGTGGGAAGAGTGAAGCTTATGCAGACCTAAGGTGAAGCAGGGATGGGCTGGGCAAGGGCTGTGCTGGGCAAGGGCTGTGCTGTTTATGGCAGGAACCCAAGTCAGAAGAGAATTCATCAACTGTTGCAAGAAATCTTACCGGGTACTGGAAGCAGAAGAGGTTTGGGGCCGTGGGGGAGGAACACAAGAAGGCGGAATTTGCTGAATGGAGAGCAGAGAAGAATGGTGGCCCTGAGTCCATGGGGACTGCAAAGTGCAGGAGGGAGGAGGGAAGCTGGGTAAGAAGAAAGGCAGGCATGGGAGGGGATGCTGTACCCATAGAGTAGGCCTAGTCTTAGCTTTCTGGAAAGTCTTCTTCCAACAATTCCACGACTTCCTGGAAAAGGGACAGTTAGGAGAGAAAAATGAGTGTTCATACCCTCTCCTTTACTATCCACACCAGCCTTGAACCCAAGTCCCTCCTTCCAAGACTAATGACAATTCATGATGTTTAGGGTGGGGGTCAGGGTGCAGGAAATGATGGAAGTAGGTGTGCCTTGCATTTCTTCCCCACTCCAGTCCAAGCAGAGGATGAGGGGATCATGATGTACTTGGAGAAAAACAGAATTGCAGACCTGTGAGTAAACTGCTCCAATCTTCTTGCCTATCTTCTGTGGACACTGCTGAAGACGGCAGGAACAGACACAGTCATGGAAGATGGCAGAGAGTGAAGCAGTCCAAAGTCAGTTTATTTCCCCACAGGGGAAAAATGTGACCTCGAGTGAAGAGAAGTCAGCAAGACCCGACTCCGCCTTGTAAACAGGGCTCCAGTTAACACCAGGTACCAAATGGTTCTGGCTGGTACGAACTGGAATGGACTAATGGGAATGGATTCACAGTGTGTAAACAATGTTCACTGCAATCATTCTAAGGCTAACAGCTTGGCAAGGGAGGTGAAATGGTGTGTCTGAGACGACTGTGTAAACGGTACCGTTGCTGGAAAACACTGACTGAAAATGGAGGTGCTGGTACAGAAGGGACGGGACGGTGGGGAAGAAGAGAGGCCTTGTCTCCTGCCCATCAGTTGTGAGCAGGGGAGAGGCCGAGTGATCCTCTGCAGCAGGGCCTGACCAACTGACTGCGCGGGGCCTGCAGGTTGGGGCCAGAAGGTGGGTTTTGTGGGCTATTTCTCTTGAGGTCATCCAAAGTGAATCCCTCTATGACTCCAAGAGGCCTCTCCTTCTCCAGTGAGAAGGTGGCGCTGATGCTCTGGAGACCAAGTGTGGCTTTGGAGACCAAGGCCAAGTGTGACTCCCGATTCAGATCAAAACAATGAAATCAAAAATACCTGAAGTCCTATGATATGAGATCCTTTCATGGGGTTGGGGCTCAAGGTGCCTTCTGGAAATGATCCTAGAGCCTGAGCATCCAAACCAAGTGCTCCATACAGATACTGGAATTATTCTTTTTGAACCCAGCTCTGAAAGCTCAGCTGCCTTCATGGGGATGTGGATAGGGTAGGTACTGAGGCTCCCTGACAGAGCCCAAGTCTGAGCTGAGGGCCTCCTTGGGGGCTACTGGAATGCCTGGTGGAAACGAGGCAGGGTGGTGGTACTCAGGCCAGAGGTGAAGACAGGAGGCAAGGAGTGCAGAGGCCCGAAGTTCAGCGGTCCCCCAGCTCCTGGAGAATCTTGAGGCTGAGCTTGCAAAGTGGTGAGCAGGGGCTGTGCCTCAGCCTGAGAGTAGCCCATGACCAGACCTCCTGTGGTCCCAGGTGGGTTACATGGGGGCAGATTGAGTGGAAGAAAGCCCAGTAAATGGGAGAAGTCCACATTAGCAGCGCAGAGGGCCTCAGAGAGGTTGGCGGGGCTCTTGGTGAGCAGTGCTTCGTCAAGGAGAGCCGCAGCTGCCGCCGGCTGAGGTGAGGCGGGCTGGGGTTCAGCGGATGAGAGAGACAGGCTTCCAGGAAGCTCCGCCAGAAAACTATCCACCTCCACTTTGGGCAATTTGTCAGGCAAGTATGAGGTAGATCCAAGCTGGTATTTTGGAGGAAGCTGAGCTGGGGAAGAGATAGGTGAGGATTCCAGAGGGTAGCTCATACCCATGGGCAGCGTGTTATGCACCAGGGAGTGTGGCACGCCTGCACTGGGCATGGCAGGGATGTGGGCACCATACATGCCCATGGGCAACATGCCAGGGAAGGCCTTGGCCCCCATCACGTCCCGAGAGGCCATACAGAGCACAGGGCTCAACTCTTCCTTCACACTGACTGTGGAGCTGCAGCTGAGTAGGCCTAACATGTCCACTGGCTCTGTCTTGATCTTGAGCAGTTCCTGTGAGTGACTCTTCTTTACATGACGGGTCAGGTGGTCCTTGCGGCCAAACCGCTGGGCACAGTACTGACACAAGAAGTCCTTCCGACCTGTGTGCACTACCAGGTGCCGCCGCACATCCTTTCGAGTGTAGAACCGCCGGTCACAGTGGTCGCAGGGGTGCTTCTTCTCCTTGACACCACCTGCTACCCGGCGTGAGTGGGCCTTCAGGTGCTCTAGCAGAACCTGAGTATTCTCAAATGTCTGCAGGCACACCTTGCAGCTGAGGTCACCACTGCTGGCAGCATGCATGGCCAGGTGGCGCCGGTAGCCCAGCTTCGTATTGTAATTCTTACCACACTCAGAACAGTGGAGGGCCTCTTTGTTCGGGTCATGGGTCTGCAGGTGGTTCCGCAGGTGATCCTTGCGGTGAAACATCTTATCACAGTACATGCACTGGTGGGGTTTCTGGGCTGAGTGGGTGGCCATGTGCCTGGGGTAGGAAAAGAAGACAGAGGAGGAGGAAAGAAGGGAGATGACAAGGGCTGACCAGAAAACTGAGTGTCCACTGATAGGGAACAAATACACAAATTAAGGCAGAGTCATGCAATGCAATGTTAAGGACTACCATGCTGACTATACTTTTTAGATACACTTGTCCTCCTGCAAAACTATGTACACAATGCTACTCTTATTATTTTTTTAATGATATATTTATTTATGCATACAGTAACTGGGTACAGGCGGTGAGAGGATTCACCAGAGACAGAGTGGGGCGCAGAACAGACAGATCGACAAAGTACACTGCTGAGGGGAGCAGCGGGAGACACAGGAGAGATCTGCAGCGCCATAATGCTACTCTTTCTAGCATTGTTTGTAGTAGCAAAAAACTGGGAACACTGAATATCCTAAGTACACAGATGATTCAATTAAAACAAATTAAGGCTGCTTTACATGTAGCCACAGGGACAAACTCCTGGGATACAGTGAGTGGGTGAAAAAGCAGTGAGATAGGACAGTACTATGCATATGAAAAGAGGAAAAACATGTATGTTTGCTTGTCAGCTTAAAATATATACACAAGAAATTAAATACTCACTGCTTATGGGGAGAAGAAATGGGCAGCTGATGGATGGGCGTGATGGGAAATTTTCTTTGTATACCTTTTGGCATCTTCAGAATTTTTATTTAAATGATTGTATTTCCATTCCAAAAATTGTAATAAAAAAATTAACGGTACATTAAAGGGAACAGACCTGCAACAATCTCCCAAGATATAGGAGTTAAGTGAAAAAAAGTTCAGCAAGCCCTCCCTAGTAGCACAATGGATTACAGCACAGCACTGCAAGGCGCGCTGCCACCACTTGGGTGCAAGTTCGATCTCTGGCCAGGAAGGTGCCCCACACGGTGCAGCAGACTTCTCCTGTCTCGCTCACTGCTTGTAAGCTCCTATACTTCATCAACCTGCCTGTTCTGCTCCTCACTTTGACTCTGGTGAAGCCTCTCACCACCCCCACACCTCTGGCCTGTACCCCAGTTCTGTATGCATAAATAAATAAATCTTATTAAAAAAAAAAAAGTTCAGCAGGTCAGTACTGTGTGTGTAATACATTCTCTTTTGAAAATAAAAAGGTGTGGGGAATATATGCTTTAAATGTCTCAGCAAGAACACATAAGAAACTGACATACCAGTTACCTTTGGAGAGAAGAATGATGCCTTCAAGCATGAGAACAATCCATTTTTCATGTGTACTCTAATTGTTTGCCATGTAAACTTTTTAACAGTGTTTTTATGCTGTGGCACGTTAGTGCCCCCTAAGTTTATCTGCTCCCATCTGACTGGAAAGCAATGCAGAGTCCAGGAAATGCAACCCCAGGCTCTACAGTACATAGAGAATAAATACAGAAAGACCTACTGTTTGCCTGACCATAGCAGTGTTCTCCAGAAGAGGCTGAAGCACAGGGCAGTCCCACTCACCATTCAGTAAGCAGCAGAGGCTGGATTTAAATAAAGACTTCTTAAGACCTGGACCACTCACATATGCCACAACAGTCTCTAGTCTAGAATGATCCTTTCCACCTGAAGGAGTTCAAACACACCCACCATTCTCTGGCTACATGTGAGTGTTCAACAGTGCTCATGCTTATTAGGGTCACTACCAACCTCCCACAATAACGTACGAGAGGTGGTGCTGCATGATCCACCAACTCATTTTGCAGGTAAGGAAAATGAGGTCCAAAGTGGTTCAGTAATGTGCCTAAGACCACACAATGACTTAAGGGTGAGGTCAGGGCTCCAGGCTCCTGGACCAGGATGCTTCTTGCAGCTTCCCACTGACATGCAGACTGTCACTAAGAAAGTCTTAGAGGACAGACCACTGGAGGCCACCTAAGGCACAGGAGCACCCTGACAAAGCATTCTGAGGTGCACAGAACTGTCGTGAGAGCAATCCTGGCCAGCAATCCTGTTAGTTGCTTTAATCCCTTTACCATCTACTTTTTCAGGCATGGAACTGAAGCTCCCTGTAGTCACTTTATTCATATATAACAGTGTCTCTCCCTCCCCTTCAAGCTTAGGAGGTACATTCCAAGACCCCAGTAGGATGCCTGCAATCCAATATATACTTTCCCCCTTGTACTTAGACCTGTGATGAAGTATTTATAAATTAGGCAGAATAAAAAAATAACAAACAGAATTAATGACATACTAAAATAAGTGATATGAATGTGGTCTCTCTCTCAAAATGTCTTATATGTGTATTTTCAGTCCTCAATTGACAACACGTAACTGAAAATATGAAACTTGAAAACATGGACTCTACTGTATTTACTTGTTTGCTTCCATTCCCCACAGTTAAGGCAATAAACTCAAGGAAGGCTGCGACCCCATCTGTCTGGCTCACTGCTCTGTCCCTAGCACTGAATATCGGTGCCTAGCATGTAACAGGAGCTCAATAATTCAGAACTGGATAAAAAGATGAATGACTGTATCAGCAGCCTGTCTCCGTTGCAAAAAAACTGCTCATGGTATTCCTCATGGGAAGGCAAGGATGAGAACAAAGTCACTTCCAACCAGTCCCCTGCCCTTCAAAGCTGCGCCGCCATATCCGTGACACACTGAGGTGGCTTTCACATTCTATTCACTGAAAGCTGAAGTTCTTCGCTTTACAGTTTCAGGAAAGCCACTGATGACCCTAGATGACCTAGAGGGCATCAGGGGCTCTATGGAAACCAACAATCACCTGAGTGATAGGCTGGTTCAGCAGAAGAGGCACTGCAGGACCTGAGCAGCTATGTGACCCTGGGTAAGTTACTTTTCCACTCTGAGCCTTCACTTTAAGTTTATAGGGTAAGACACCCCTTTTCCTTCTGAAGCTCTGAGATTGATTCCTAATTCTGAACTAAGACAAAGCAGTACTGAAGGAGCCCAGTTTGCTCAGAGCTAACTGACATTGTACCCATCAAATTCTACTGTCTGGATAAAAGATACCATTCTTTCTTAATGAGTAACCTTATATGGTTTGTGTTCAAGGAATATTTAAAAAGGACAAACTAATCTCCACTTTTTCTGGCACAGATAAAACCTCATACTCAGTAAAATCTTTGTGGTTTTGTCTTCAGGGAAGCCTGGGGCAGGGAGAGGCTTGGGAGTTTTACCTACCTATACAACTTGTACTTGGAAGCAAAAGCCTTGCCACAGTGCAGCTGAGGGCAGCTATACGGTCTCTGCTCTGGATGGGGAAGGCTGTGAGGTCTCAGCTTCTCCCCATTTGAGAAGGGTGTCCCCGAGATCTCACATTGGCACTTCACTTGATTCTCTGCTTCCCGGCCCCGAGGCCTGGGAACTAGTTTCCAGCCCACTTCCTCCTCCTGCTTTGCATCTTGAATCCAGGGGGGGACGCTGGTGAAAAATGTGGTCATGGCAAGGCTAATGGCGAAGGGCCATGTTATTCAGAAAGCCTCCCCATCAGTTCCAAACGGGCTCTCTGTTCTGTCACAGCCTCCAACGCAGCCTTCAGAAAACAATCTGTTCACCTGAAACATCAGAACACGTGATGTTAGGGAACCTAATACCACAAAAACATGGGCTCAGGAGGCATACATGTCCCCATTTTATCCCCAGCCCTTCCACTTAGAAGTTATTTACTTTCAGCCAATTACTTTCTTAGATAGTCCCTTATTTATAAAATGGATTCAATGAATAAACTCAGAAATCATAAGGCTCATTTTATTAAATGAGATAATATAAAACATTCATTCAGCAGAAGGCCGTATACCTAGTAAATGCTTAGTGGTAACTATTATTATTAGTATCACCTAGACTAATAAGAAACAAGATAATCTGAGGAAGTAAAAGCCCTATACTTAAACAGTTCTCTTCTGGTTTCACATTTATATCCTTCTCACTAAACCTACAGCACTCCTCCTCCTCTTCCTCTTTATCCTATCTTCCCCTCACCCACTACTTTTCACAATTCTCCTCATAGAGGTGCTAAGGACAATAAAGTGCCCAAAAGGCAACAGAGAAGAAGGAAAGAAAAGCTTTATTCAGGAAATTTACACCCTGGAAAGAGTACCAGATGTGTTTCTTAGCAGTGCATCAACATCAAGAGGTTCTGAGGAGGTAGTAATGGACTCAGCATTTCCCCTAACAGCACTCGGCCTATCCTGACCACCACCTCTCTGAGATTCTAGGTCTTGAGATCCCAACTGTGCCTCTGGATTTCAGCAAAATTAGCATGCTCCAATATCCCAAGGTGCTGAGTATTCCCTCCTAGACCTTTATTTCTACATATACATCACAGAAATACAGCACATTTGCATTTCTCCATTATGAGCAATAACATACTTGCATTAGGACTTATGTCTCCTCCACTAGACTCTGATTCTTTGAGGGCTCAAATCATCTCTTATATTCACACATCTACCATCTAGAAAAGGAATTTCAACTTTCTTTTAAATGAGGTAAATTAATCACTGAATGCAAGAATGAGTCTCATAGGCTACCTTATGTTCAGGACATTCCGGTTTAAACTAGTTTATACTACTTCTAAAGTGGGGAGGGGGAGGAGGAAGAGTCTAAAATCTTGATGTCTGGAATTCTCTTATTTATGGGGCTGGAGTGGAATGCACTGGAACAAAGATGACAAAACTTTCCTAATATCAACTCAGAGCAAGAAAAAATGGGAGTTAGGTACTATACTAACTCTCAAAAGGAGGACAAGAGCTCAACATTCACACTCACAAGCTCATCACACATTACCAACCACAGCATAACTTGCTACAGCACCAACCACAGTGTAACTTTCTACAGCAAGGGGATTCCCTTTGAAGAAGTCATGCCAAAATTTGGTCATGAGGCTTTTCCATGTGAAAGGAGAAGAAGATGGTGTCTGACTATCCATGAGAATCTGGGGAGGGCTCCAACCTCACACATTAACTAGGCTACAGAATGCTTGTTCAGCTCATTAGCACCTGCTGCTTGCAGCGTATTCATCCAATAGACTGGGCCTGAACGAGATGATGGGATCAGTAGGTTCATGCCCAGAGAGCTTTGCTCATCATTAACATGAGCTACATCCTGTTCAGGAACCATTCCTCTTGTTGAAGAAACAGTGCAATGTAATATGATAAACATTTCCCCATCACGAGTGGAGATTTGCCTAGAAAGACCTGTACAAAGGTGGCTATATTTTGCATGAGTCACATGCTGGGGAGGGGTAGGTAGCATAAAAACTAGTCCCACTTGAGCCTTCAAATCCTCATGGTGTATTTCCCTGTTTCACTATAAACCTCAAAGCCTCTTGTCAATTGGCTTCCATTGTTTAAGTCCCCTCCTTCTTTGCAAGGGTGGAATTACCTGTTTATAATACCAGCGGTTACACTGTACCTTGGAACTGGGTAGAGAGCAAGCACAAGTTTGAATGTCTAGTTTGGAGGGAATTACCCCTACCTTCACAGTTAAAATCTGCTCCCTCTGATATCTACAATCATCTACCACAATGGCTGGGAAATAGGGAATGACAGCCAGAGGTAAGCAACTTGCATCAGTTTGGCTGATGTGAAAGGGGAGTCTAGCCCTGGAAATTCCGCATAAACTCAGAAAGAGAACATTACCTCCCCCACCTCCCACACGGCCACCTCATCTATTCTCCTGAACAAGCACAAACAAGACAGCAGTTTAGTATGCTGTTGCTGAAAGAGTGAGTAATGGGCTTCTAGGAAAGAGACTGGTGGTGGTAAAAAAGCGCTCATGAGGCTGCACTGATAGAACAAGAGGAAGGCAGCAACCATGTGCTTGCCTTGTTCTGCATTTAATGGGGTTAGGGCTTTAAAAGAAAACAGTCAACACCCGCTCCTCTTCCCCCTACACTTTTTAAAAGGCACAGAAGTCCTTACCTACAGTCATCAGGCACCAACAGGCAGTTGGATAACCAAATCTGCTAGTGTTACTTAGGAATCCTTTTGGGAATCCAATCTCTCTCCCTGTCCTTTGTCTGCAAACTTCTCTGATCCAGGAAGATTCCTTGGGCTGTCTCGCATAATCAGAAGGCCAATTCCTTCATAGTTCTTCCTTGGCGAAACTATGAAAGAATTTTGCTTCTCTATTAAAGCTGCTCTTCTGGTCTCACACTCTAACCTTAACAACTATAAGAGAAGCTGACAGAACCTGTTCCCATAAAACAAACACAATCAATCCCTCCCAGTTACTAGTATAACTCAGTACATTTTCATCCTTCGATGCCTTCTAGTGCCTGATCTGAAGAGGGAGGTAGCACAGAAAAAACCTTGGACTTGCTATCAGAAGAGCTGCCACTTAGTGGCTGTGAAACTACGGGCAGGTTACTTTGTTTCTCTGGACCTCAATTTCTTCAATTTCTAAAATAGTCTTTCTTATTCTTCCTTCCTACAAGGTTCTCATGGAGGATTAGTAAAATAATACTCTTGAAAGTCTGACATAAAACATGCAGAATATATGCAATACAGCCTCGCGTCTAAACTGATTCTGGCTGCTTCCCCGCCCTGGAGCCTTCTGGCTTCTCCGACTCACCCCCCTTTAATGTTACCTCTCAAGAGTTCAGCATGAGCTTCCTTTCCTTCCCAACATCTCCCCAGAGTCCTTGCCCCCTTTCCTCACAATTAACCCTCACATGTCCCCTCTGATCAGGTCCCTCTTTCTTGACCTTCTCCAGCACCATCCCCTGAATCAGAGTTTTCTCTTCTTGTCCACTTTAGGAACCACTTCTATTAAGGCTCCAAACCTCAATACAAATGCTTGCTAAAACCCCTATGGTTCATTTTGGAAACTGAAATGGAGACAAACTGCTTCCTCAACTGTTTGTCCTTTGTTGTTTGCCATGATGTCTGTTGCCCTCTGATGAAATTATAGTTTTTATGGTGTTACATCATCTCTACAGAAACTTCGTTCTTTCTCCATTATTAGCCTGTTTCCTCATCTGCAAAGCTAAAAATACTTACCTCACAGGCTTGTTGTAAGGATTATTTTAGTCAGGTATGCAAAGGGCTCAATATAGGGCTTGGCTTGCTGTAAGTACCCAACAAAAGGCAGCTATTATCTTTGCTTTGTATTGAGTTGCACGTCCCACCTTCTGCTGCCACACTTGAATTCTCCCAACCCTCCTAAAAACCTGTTGAGAAATAGCCCCCCTGCAGCAAAGAAAGGGTTAATCTCTGAGTGTTCTTAACTAGAGAGACCCACAGAGGATTAACAGCTCCACTTCAGTGACTACCCTAAAATAGCTTTTATCCCTTCTGCCCAAGAGCTACTTGGGGATCTGAAGAACTCAATTCAACACCTGCCGAGAAGGAAACACACCCAGGAAAGTTCCATGGGATGGACAGAATCTTCCCTTAAGCAGAACCCAAAATAGCAACTGGGAAATTATAAATAGACTCGAGCCTGACCTGGGCTCCAGAAACAAATCCAAAAAACACACTGGCTGGAAAACAGTGAGAAGGGGGGAATGGGAATAGCTGCCCCCCTCACTCACTCTCTCACATACTCCTCGGTGGTGGGAGAATTAAATTACAGGGAGGCTGGAGAGTCTCAATGACTTGCATCATTCCAGGAGACATCAAACAGGATTAACAGGGGTTGAATTTACTCTCAGGCTGCTAGTTCTTCTGTTAGTGTAGATGGGCCCTCTTTGGAGTCCCTTTGATTCACTATTTCCTCTGCCTCCCACTCCTGAGAAAGAGTTGAGCAAATGGCTGCAACTCACTATAGCCCAGTTTTCAAGAAGAGGAAACCCGACTAGAGCTGACCCCCTGGCATCCCTGCCCCAACCTGGCAGCCTCACCTTATGGGGGAGGGTGAGAAACCCAAGGTCAGACTATCAGTCCAAGATGACAGGTGGAAAAACACACAAGCTAGGAGACAGGCCACACTTACAGGTGAAAATACCAACAACTCCCCCACACCAGTTGTCCCCTTATCGTCCACTTTTCAGGTCCCCTTCCCCCCAAGCTGGGGCCATAGCATGGGACTGTACTTGCAGGGAATAGTCTGACTCCTCTAGCAGCTTCTAGATCAACCCATTGTGTGGTGGGAATGGTTAAATTCAGGGACTGGGAGATGGGAGTGGACAGCTGCCAGAGACGAAACTGAAGTTCAGAGGGAAGTCTGGAGAAAGCTTCAGGGGTGGGAGGGCACGCAAGTTTTGTAAGAAATCATGAACAAGTTATATGCCCCCTGAGGTCTCCAGAAAGAAAGGGGGGGGGGTCAAAAAGGGTTGGAGGATTCCAGGGGTTGAAAAGTGTCATCAGTGAATTCCCTGAATTTCAACAGTTTCAAAATGAATATCTGGATGGAAGATGGATGGTTAAGACTTGGGATTATGGTCACTGGGAAGGGTTTATTGGGATTTTACAGAACCGGCTATTTGAAAGAAGCTTCAAAAGTTGTGCGATTCTGGAAAATAAAGCAGGGTTTACAGTGGACTATTTGGAGCAGGAAAGGGGGTTAGGTGGGCTGGGGTAGGCGTGTCTACCATGGTTGGGGGGGAGCAGGTGCAGCTTATCAGCGTCCCCCAGACCCGGGTCCGTGGCAAGGTCAGCAGCGCGTTATCTGGGTCTCCAGGGAGCCTGGGGTGGGGGGGTGTCGGAAGAGGGGGCCTTCACGGTCGAGACTCCAGGTTTAGGAAAGGAGGGGACTAGTGGGGTTCCTTCGGGCCCTTAGGTCTCAAGTATCGAGTAGAAGTTGTTTTTGTCACCCTGGGGCCTACACGGGCCGGGCT